TCGATATTTTCGAGTTTGAATATCTCGTCGAAACCGACGATCATTATTTCGGTTGAATGAGCGCGCTTTTTAACCCGTGGGAGAAAGAAATCAAATTATTCGTGGTAACGTTCGCCGATTCGATTTCGGGAAGCTTACTGATCGATCCGGGATCGACGGTGAATTTTTTGCCCCGCGAAGTTTTCATTCGTGGGATGACTTTAATTAGTCGAAAATCGTTGATTATTGAATATCTTTGCATCCATTTCTCCATTATTGTTGCACTAAGCATTATAGAGAAGTTAAAAAAAAAAAAACGATATATTTTTTTTTAACGAAACTCCATTTTGAAAAATTTTGAAATCTAGACATTTAAAATTTCTTCAATCATTATTCTATTAAAAAATCGATCGATCGATCATATTTAAAAACGAATGGAATATTATCGATAAATATCCTATTTATTTTGACCAACTGTTTACAGTACAGTCGATTCGTATTATGCATTCACGCGAAATATATTGTCTAGTATCGTGATGCGGTTTTGAGGAAACGAGAAACATCATCGAAAAGATAATGGTAGCACAATGTTCGAACAAAATCCCCGATATATCGTGAATTTTCTATTTCGAATAAACCAACGAATTGTGTTTCAAAATCGATGTATTTTCCTGAAATAGGCAATGATATATAATCTTATTTTAAAAATGGCAATTGCGGATCAAAGTCTTTCAATTTCTCGAATTGGAAAATACATTAAAATCATTATATATGTATACTTCACTTTTGAGTTAGTATGGCCGTAAATCGATTGCGAAACTGGATGGGAATGAAACAGGTCAAGCGAAGGAAAGTCAAGGATTAAGCGAGCGAGAAACGTGGTTAGTAATCGATTATTCATAGTTTGAAATATTCGAATGCAGAGATTGGTCAGTGATTAATAATTGAACGATAATATTAGAAATGCTATATTAAATTTAACCCGGAAAAAGTTTTAAATTTTGTTTTATGTACTTTATTTTCTTCTCCTTTTCTTTTTTTTTTTAATAACAATGTGAAAGTGAATTTAAATTTGTATTTATATAACGAAAGGATAAACTTGATGAAAAATTTTAATAACGTTTCGAGAAAGTGTATAAAATATTCTTTGATTATGCGCTGTAAAACTTGGAACATTGTTTCTCGAGATGGATATATCATTTTATTTCTTTCAAAAAATAAACGGAATTTCAATGAACAGGATATTATAATTTCATTCAATGGATCGATATGTATATTTATATTAAAAAACACACGAAATTTAACTAAATATATATTATTTTAGAATTTTATTAAAAAAAAAATCATTTCTATTTTTAAATTTCCATTATTAAATTATTCTTTGTGTTTTATATTCTCTTGCTAAGAGAATATAAAAAGAAAAATGTACGTACATTAAATACGAATAAATTTTAGTTAAAAATATTTTCAAAAACTAAAGTATTAATTTTTCTATGGATCAAACATTTAATCAATTTTCATAAGATTATATAAACGAAATTTAATTGAAAATTTCAATCGTGAAAATTTCGATAAGAGTTTTATCGACCCAAGTATTAAAAGTCTGTGTCATGACGTCATGAGTACACTGTATACCTGCTCCTTGCGTTATATGCGCTTTGATGAAGGTTAGCGCTTCCTCCAGGGCACAATCTCACCTCATCGGCTAGTTAAATTAGTAGAGTTCACAGTAGTTATAATTCAGAGACGTTTCCACATCTATGCTTCAGAGGCAGTAAAATGTAACGAGGTATAAAATCGACGTTTCAAACGTATTGTGAAATATGCATATTGCGCGTTTTGCTGATGAATATTCTGAAATTTTACAGACACAAGCATTTGTGGCCATTAAAATGTATACAATTAGAGGAGAAGCCTTAACAAACAAATAAAGTTCATCAAAGGGGAAGATAAACTATTCTTTTCCAATTTATATTTCAAGAAATCTTAATTTGAGATAATTCTTTAATTCTTTGTGAAAATGAAACGAATCCTGCTCGCATCCTTCCCTATTTTTTATTCTTCGTAATGCGATAAGCTAGCTTGCATCGGTACACAAAGAAGAAATTTTATTTTTCCCTTAAAGCATAATCCCTCCTCTTTCGATACTTATTTATTAAATATTAATTTAAATTTTCGTAATTAAAAGGAATTTTCTTAACTCAATTTATGCGAACGAAACAGAAGGTACAAAGAAATGTTCACTGCGAGAAATTATAAAAATGGCACGAAACGCATAGATAACAAAAAATAATAATAAGTTAATAGAGAAACAAAATCCATGCATACACGTCGTTATATATCGATACATAACGTCAGAAATTAAATCTAGACGAGGAATGGAAAGCAGTTGCGAAAGAATGGCGCAGTAAAGGTAATGCATTGCAGGAAAAGAGTGTAGACCCGTCCGGATTGCGTCTGACAGGCTATTGTAGACCATCGTAGAATTGGCCGCGCGTTCCCTTTTTCGAGGAAGGAAGGCCGCATTCCTTTTCGCGAAAGGGGAGGAGTTGGAAAAAAATACGAGCACCCTCGAAGAAGCTCTTTTCCACGAGGATAGCGCTCCCAAAGGGTCGCCCCGGCAAGCAATCTCGCGAAATTGGACCGCGCGATTTCACGTCGTTCCGTTGCCGTTCCTTTGGTTTTCGTTCGCGCCACGGCCGTGCAGATTATTTCGAACGGATCGAAACAACGCTATTGAAAAGTCGAGAAAAAACTTTTTCCTTTTTTCTTTTTCTTTTTTTTTTCGCGAGTAAAAAATGAACCGTGGCTTTGGCACGTAACGGTGACAAATGATTCCGAACGAATGATCTCGAGGAGCGATCGATCGATTTTATCGAGATCGAAGGTGGGAGAAGCGAGATTTTAGTGACACATCGATCATTACGTTAATTAAAGGATGATGGATCGGGCGGATTGAAATCGAGGGATTCGCTCACGTAATTTGATTCAATTTAAGGGACGGCTTTTGTTGTTCGCCAATGGAGACCGTAAATGGAATTTTTGGTTTTGTTCGGTATTGTGTAATATCATTACGTTACATTTTTGATACGATTTTTGAATTAAATTAAGCATTTACATTTTCCTTTTATTATATCATTTTGCCATGTATATAGTTAAATATTGCAACGAAATCCTATGATATTCGAATTGAACATTTAGAAAGTTTGTTTATCGACAAATTAAATATCTACGAATTATCGAAGTTAATAATAATTGACGAAGTTCGCGTTACGAAAAAATAATCGATACACGGTTTCGCTGGAGCGCGAATGTGTCAAAGCTTTTGCGCGGAAAAGCGGAAGATTAAAAAAGAGGAAGCAGATGAAAAGTGAAAAGTAAAAAAGACTTTCTCTACTCGGATAGAATGTGTGACACGAGGCACGGAATATGCGGTGTAGAACGGTGTATAGAATATGCGGCGATACAAAAAAGTGGAACTCGAGAAAAGAATTTTACTCGATTTTACTGGATATAGCACGAAATATATAACATCGATCGAATATTACAAAAGAAAAACTGGTATTCCAAAATTTAAATATTCGGGAAACGAATCTCTATACAATTTTGATAAAAATCATTTCCCTTCGATGTCGATCTCGATCATCGAGAAATTAATAACTTATACCCGAGAATCGACTTATCTCGCGCGAACCCATTGTAACGAACAAACCATCGATCGTTTCCGTCTCACCGTTCCGTTTGTTTTCCCACTGATTTTTCCACCTAGAGACAGAGATATCCAACCTTTGCCCCCCTTTGTTCCACACTGTCCCCGTCTGTCTGGCAGAATAAGTAGGCCCAGTGGGGATTAAAACCGAGCGCACGCGTCACGTGCACCCGGATAGAGTATGTCATTTAGTGGCTTTGTTCGTCCGTACGCTTCCTCTTCCCGCTTGTCTCCAACACGAGGCGTGTAATGTTACGCCCGCGAACGATCGTGACGATTCTCAACGAACTCATCGTCGATCTTTAAAGGGGAAAAAAAAAAAAAAAAAAAAGAAGAATCGTCTTCTTCGCGAGGACCCTTCGTTTCGAATCGATCAACTTATTTTTATTATTATGAATCGGATTTTCGTTTGGAAAAGCTTTAATTTTCGCGTGTTATTTCGTTCTTTTTTTTTTATTTGACGAAATTTAATTAGTCGCTCTGTAAATAATATCAATTTCCATCATCTCTGTTACATCGAATTTTATAATAATAATAATAATAATAATAATGATAATGATAATAATAATAATGTAATCGATGTTATTGTAAATATATAGGACAGCAAACAATGCCAATTAATTTAAACCAGTTATGACAATCAAACTGGAAATTATCCCCTTATTATTTATCGCTTCAATTACTACGATTTCTACGATAACAACTTTATCGAATAATCCGTAAACAAAATTAACGCTAAAACGGCTCCAACCCGAAAATCTTCGATTCTAAAATGTATACACATCCCATAAATGGAAGAGGATTTCGTCAAGCTAACCCGTCGCATAACCCGATTGCACGACACGCGATTCCACGATCGTAAATTACAAACAAACGTCTCGACGACGTCGTTTCCATCCCCCCCCTCCTCCCTATACTTTCGAGGAATTGGCGAAACTAAAGTCGTAAAATTATACTACGTGTCCCTCCCTTCCCTCCCTGCCGATTTCGTGGTTCGCCGCCTCGCGAAGATACACGAGCACACGTTACGTGAAAAGAGAGAAAGAGACAAGGAGAGGGAGAAGGAGTTGCGTTCGCCTATTTCAACTTTCCTCGAGGAGGCTGGAGAAGGAAGATATTCGAAAAAGTTGAGATATTCGGTGAAAAGTACGGGGGGAAACTCGGTCGAGTTCGCATCGATCGAGGCTCTAACGAGCTGCTGCTAACTAGTTTCGAGGCGAGATCGTTCCCTTATTTGAATTTTCGCGTGGCAAAAAGGGGTGGCGGAGAAAAGGTGGATTTTCCCCCGCGGAAAGGGGGTGGAAAAACTTACCCGAGCCTTGGGCGTCTGCTTCAATCCGATGGCCGGCTGGCTTCTGTTGCTCTGCAACAGATAATTGTCAACGGTCAGTGCGAATGATTTATTATTAATTTTTTGCAGGGTTAATTGCGACGTGGAAGGGGAAGAGGAGAGTTCTATTAATATTCGACGCGACTTGTCTTCCCGCCTTAATTATTCCGCCCGCGTCACGTTGGCCGGGTAATTTTTTATTAACGAAACTACTTTGCGAAATTGCCCAAGATTAATGGAATTGGCCTTGAGTGTAATCGAGAATGGTAGTTGAGGGTATACAGAGGTTGACGAAAGAAAAAGATTGGAATAGGGATAATGTGTTTTTTCTTTTCTTCAATTTTAAAAAGTGTTCGAGAGATGTAATCGTGTGATATTGCGAGTGTATTGGCGACGATTCATCATTGTTCGTTAATCGTAATAAAAGTGTACGATAATTAACAAGATAAAATAAGGAGAAAATTTCTATGTCGAACGGTGGAGATTGAAATATTTGTAACTTTGTCGTAAGGACGATTGTTGTGGAAAGTTACGATATAAAGTAAATCCAATTATAAAGTAGGAATGGAAATCAAGGAATCGTTGTAATATCTTGCAGCAACGATTTTTGACAACTTGCTTTTATCATGTATTTTTCAATACGTTCGAATGAAAATTGTAAACGAAGCATTCATTTTATGAGCGACAGGAGTAGAAAACAAAGGGGTTCGAAACTTTTTTAGAGAGATGTGAAACGGAGGAACAAAAATATTTTTGGTTAAAACGGCTCGTGTTCTGCAAATATCGTATATAAATATTTTCAGTTTTCCTGAAAATGCTTTCCGGTGTCTACTATTATTCATAAAGTTTCCCCTTTTATGTCAAAACTCCAATATGCCATTCGTGTTTTTTTTTCAGGTTACAAGCAAATATTAAATATAATTCGAATCTAAATATAAATTGAGATGGGTGAAAGAAATAATTAATGACGTTGCTTTTTAATATTATTGCATCATTATTATCGCGTAATTTAAAATTAAACACAGAATTGCCTCTTGAAGATTATTACCAAGGCTATTAGCAAACTTCCTTCTCGAATTTATAATTAATAATACGAATATATATTCCCTCTCTCTGGCGAGAGTTTAACAATAAAACGAATACACATATCTACAAACGTGAATTCTAAACGAAATTATAAACCAACTACTCGATGTTCTACTCGATGTAAAATTGAGAAAGCTGTTGACACCATATATAATTTCATAACTTAATCGATTTTGATTTTCAATCAAAAAAAAAAAATTGAAAAATTATTCCAACTTCGTTACTTTACACACATCTCCCAATTCATCCCTAGAAATCATGACACATCTCAAAAATCGTCTCCAAAAACCTAATAAAAAAATCACAATTGTACAAATTTCGCATCGCATTAAAAGAAAAAATAAAAGAAAAAATATTGGGCATATGCCGATAGATGATCGCGTCGTTATCTCGTTCCTTTATGGCGTTCAGAATGTTGTTTCCCCGGGCAGCGAATAAATCGGATCGAGGAACGTGGCACGTCGTTCTGGCGCGGATATCTGGCTGGCATAGGAACAAACGATAAAACGATAAATTCAGGGGAGCTGTCGAACCGTGTACAGTATCGTGGTGTCGGGCCCGTGTCATTGCTGGGAACGCGTAAATCTTAATTGGCCAATCGAAAACGGAGCGGAAGCGTTAACCAACAACTACGGAAAACTCGTCGTGTGAACTTGTCTGATGACGAAGCAAACTAAGCGCGGCCGGAACTTACGATTTTAATTCGATTCGTCCTGTTCGTTCGACTCGGTGTGGTTGGACAATCATTTTTGCGGAATAATTTAACTAAACGGCGTTCGATGTTGCGTCGTGTAGATGTTAAATCGAAGAGAAAAAGGTATTGCAAGTTTATGATTGTAATCGATATCATTGCAGAAACGAGTGCGAATGAAGTGTTGTAGAAAATTTGATTTTATTGCAAGAATATATGAAATATTCAAAGAAAGAAATTCGAATACACGAAGCAATAAAATTGATTGTATCAAATTTCTGTAATAATATTCAGTTTATCTGTAACTTAGAGACCTTGTAAATTAGGATATTTCCTGAACGTATCTCGAGACGTGTTGCAGATGAAAATGTCTTTCCTATAGCGCGTTCATCGGTGAAAATTTATTTATGAAATAAAATTGATTTTCTGCCTTGATTTTGTGCGAATATTGTATCTAGAACCACCGTAATTAAGTTTTGTTAAAATAGTTTGAAACATTTTATTTTAATCTTACGAAATATCGATTCGAAGAACAGCATCAAGATGAAGATTCTCAAATAGTCTACAATATATTTCGAGGTAGTTCGAATCAACAACGAATACTGTATCAAGCAACAACGAACGTGGTGCTAATTAAGCGGTTTATCTCGATTAATTCCGGATAATTGCGTGGGGTAATTAGTCCAATTACTCCAATGGTTCGGCATAGCGCGAATAACACTAGTCCTTCTCGACACATCCCCATTGGCTGAAATGTCGCAAATTCGACCGCAGCAACTGTTATCTTCCGAGCATCGTCCCACATATTTCCGGTTATCCATTTACCGAATTGCTTTACATAGATTTCGCGATATCTCAAAACTATTATGAGTGCAACATGCATGCTTTCCGCTAGAACAGTTGATGCTGAACAATGATTCCATATTAATTTCACTTAACTCGATCTTCGCAAAGATTGTTCCATTGTGTAGTGGTTAATTACAATTTCGTTCAATAGAAATTTTCAAGTTTCAAATTTCATTCGGCTTAAAAAATATCCTGAACGAATTATATTATTTGAATTTTGATGCAACGTGTCATAAAGATTTCCTATTTTATTTGAACCGTACGATCATGAACTTTTCTTAAATGTGAAAAAGAAATTTCTTTTGTATCCTCATTTAACACAAATGTTATCATCAGTGCGTATAATTTTTTCTTGAATTTCGTTGCATTTTTCTGCTCGCATTTGCGATCGTTCTTTGCATTAACCGAAAATCAATATCCACCATCTTGCTCGACTTTTGATATAGCGGTACATCGAATGTAATATAAAATTATATTTCTCGCTAAATACATTATTTTTTTAAAATAATCTTGTCCCGTTCAAATTGTATGGTAGATTATTCGACAAAATCATTTTACGAAATTTCCAAGAGAAACGTTTTATTGTTTTATTTGACGCAAACCCGTGACAATTTCGTATCGCTTTGTTAAAATTCCCTTCTCGTTCCATTTTTCATTTCCACATTATGCTTCATTCATGCATGTCGAACGTCCACGAATAAAATGCATTTTGTTTCGAAATTTCAGTTTCGATCATATTTTCAAATCCCTATAAAATAGATTAATCCCCGAGATTAATAATTGTGTTTCTCGTCACAATGCCACCTAAACAAGATTTTTCTTTCTTCTTTTTTTTTTTTTTTTTTTTCACGTTATGCCACTCGCGAAACCAGTTCGTTAAGCCGCGATCGAAACAATGTTTCATGCTCGTTTCGAATGTTGAGCGTGTTAAAATGAATTGGACTGTGTTTGCGGACGCGAATCGTGGTTATTGCGACACTCGAAAACCACGGGAAACACGGTCCAAGAGAAATTCTACACGATGCGTTTGTATTTGATCGAGATACCAATTATTTAGAGATCAAATAGTAATTTGCGATAATTGGGGTCATTTAATAGATTAAGACAATATTATCCTTAATTGATCACTCTAAAAATTTGAATTATTTCAAGATCAAATAATAATTTACGCACATCTTTGATCGAATTTTACTGAAATCGATTTTCTAAACTCCAAGCATATTTACATTGTCAGTGAACGATTAAAAAAATTGCTCGAGTAAATTTGAAAAAAATCCTGAAATAAATAACACCATTCGAAATTATTCATACTCTTGCACGTGTCTTAATCAACCAAACACGCACGAGTTTACCCCAATTCTTGGAAGAGAAGGGAGGCGCATTAAGTCAGAAAAGTTTGAGAAATCGAGCTAGCTTGTACCTTCCCCTCCTCTCGTATTAAAACGGCACACTCGAGGCATTAATATCTGTAAGGGATGGATCGCAATTTGTCCGCATTACCATCCTCGGTAGCGGCAACTTCATTTGTAAACGAAATCGAGGGCTTCGAAGGTGCCGTTAAATCATTCTCGTTAATCCGGACTCACGGATGTTTATCCCTATTGAAAATTGCGCCACGGAGCACCGAGAGAAATCGATTTCAATTTTCGCTCGATGCCATCCCTTCGACAACCAATCTGTCGAAAGTTCATCGGTTCGACTCGCCGTTAAATAACACGGCGGCCACGAGTAATCCCGCCGAAATTCCTGGAATTTCACCAAGCTTTAACCTTGACTACGAACTTTCCACGGAACGAAAACGCGTAATCTTTATTCCACGCCGTCGAGATATAAGGATCGGGTGAAATATCTCTAGGGACTCTATTTCCATGGCACGCTCTTATTTTCTCATTATTTTTCTCCTCGCACGAGGATTTTAGTTAATTTGGAATGTCACAGAAGACAATCATCGATGTAAAAATCTCTCTCAGATTGAGATACAAGATAGGGTAAATATAAAGAAGATTATTGTTTAAAATTCGCTCATCATTTCTCGATTCCTTAACGCGTACCGTGAAGATCGCAGAAAATACGTAGCGTGCATTCAATTTCACTTTTGAATTGTAACAAGGGGGAAGGGTATAAAGAGGATCTAATCCGGATTTGATTCCAAAATTTCTGGCCAACGATGTCCACACATACACACACAATCAATTCGCTCTCTATATCGTTTACAGGACGGGGCAGAATTCCATTTCTTGTTGGAGGCGATCGCCAGAATTTGGCACCGGAGACCGGCTTCGTTGTCCGTATTCGTAATTGCTACGAGTTTTCCATCCAGTTGTAGCAACGTGCTCGGCCAACTCGATAATATTCCAGGCTCGACCCAGTTTCGATAATTGTTCGCCGGTCCAGTTCCTCCTAGTTGCCC